AAGGAGTAGAAAGTACAGATATTTGTGTAAAAATGTAAGGAGTAGAAGTAAAAAGTCGCCATAAAAATAAGTAGTAGAGTAAAGTAAAAATATCAGAAAAATCTACTTGAGTACAGTAACGAAGTATTTGTACTTCGTTACTTCCCATCTCTGCTCAGAACCCATCTCATATTGTCTCTGCACAGAAAACAAATAAATGCACATTAATCCTAACTTAACTAAACTCTTGGTCTGGTGTTAAACTAATGCTCTGATTGTTACAGTGGACACTTTCACATGGTTTATAAAGGGACATATAATGCAATATGAAAGTTTTTAAGCTTTTAACCTTTCTAAAATGTTCGGCATCACAAACATTTAAAAATGTTACATTTGTTTGTTCAGTCCTGTTTAAGCAATCATCAACAATACTTTGCTCCTCCCAAATCACCAAAGGAGGATTTTTCTCTACTCACGATAAAGCATTGTGAGGTCCATAATTAGCCCACTTCTTTGCATTAAACCAAACATGGACGACCAGACTGAGTTTAGAACATGCCCAGAGGATGTGATAACCCAAAAACAAAATTTAAATTACTTAGAGAGGAAAGAATTTGGTAGAAATGGTTGCAACTTGTGTATCAGAGCTCCGAACCAACACATGAGAATGTATTCCTTTGGTCCGGAAAACAGTTATGACAGTTATCTAATGGTCTTCCAAAAAACATAATGCAGTTTATCTAATTCCTTTTAATGGCCTTGATGGGGGAGTAGGAAGCATTGCTGCAGTAAAACCCATTTTTTCCCTTCTGGATTGGAAAAACAACACCACAAAACATGTAATATTTCATGATAAATTAAAATTTGCTTGTGCAAAAGGCCATTATTTCCTCACATGTATGCCCAAATTTGAATTGCATACAAAAGCAGGATATAGGACCTTTAAATCTTTGCAGCATCTTTCCTGCCTGGGAAAAATATTTACTATCATTGATATTTTTTGCCTTTCTGCACAACCACAGCCTTTAATTTATCTGTTGGTGTTTTCTGTTGCACAGTGAAACAAAGTGCATGGTGGTGAAGTGGAAGGAAAACAAAAGAATTGTTTTTATATTACATATAAAAAAGCTTGTTTAACCCCTTGGCACCTGTTGTTGCAAACTGTTTGTACAACACAAACAACCAAGATCGTGTGTGCATTTCCATAATGCCAGTTATACACATTCAGCTCCGACTAAGGAACCTTTGGCAAGCACTTGTTTTTGCTAAGACTTGTCCCTGACCGTGTACAGTATGTTATCATTGGCAGTTATAACTCCATCCATCTATCTTCTTCCATTTTACACATCAGAGTCACAGTGTTGCCTATCTCCAGCAGCCTATGGGCAAATGGCGGCGTACGTCCGGGACAAGTTGCCAATTTGTCGCAGAGTGCCGTTAGAACTGTTGTTCCGAATTTGAGACACATTTAAATTTATATTTGTTTTTGTCCTATAGTCAAAGTAACGATCTCAATTTTTCAACTACTTTAAGGCAAAAAATGCAGACATCAAATATTATTCCAAAATTTGCCTTCAAGAAGTCTCCTATTGTAATGTGTGTAGTTCATTTTCAGTAAATTTAACTGTTTTGTGAAGAACTTACGGTTTAGAGAAAAAACAGCAACTTAAAGACCAAAGACCAGCAGACAGGTATGGGAGAAAGCTGTTGAAGCAATCAAAGCAGCTTTATGCTATAAAACAATATGCTAAGCTTTGGAAATTTTATAGAGATCTGCCTAATTCATCATCACTTTGTTTTTGACTACTCTTTTTACAAAATACTTTCTCAGTCGTAGTTCATTATTTTAAACCATGCTTTATTATTTCAATAGTTTTGTTATTTTATGTTGTAAAAACCCATATTTTAAAATCTTTTTTAATGAAATTTCATCAAGATACAGTATATTGCAGTTTGTTCTAATCATGTGACAAGTTGTATGTAATAAAGTTCAAAGAGTATAAATACTTAACAAAGGCAGCCTAGGCTCCATTTTACAACATCCAGAGTTTAACGGTAGAACTGCATTCAGTTCAACTGAAGAAACTGATTGCTCGCCTTCATCCATCTTCATCACAGCCAATCAGCTTTGAACCACACCGTCCAAAGATCATCTTAAAAGGCCTCCGATCCACAACTCGTCTGCTACCTAGTGCGTTTCTTCCAAACGAGGAGTTTTTCCTCTCCACTGTCGCTCCTTGCTTGCTCATCATGGACAGGTTCTCTCAACCTGTGTTATCCAAGCTTTACTTCCATCTTCCAGGTCCCTGAGTGAAGCTCTAGTATCAGCTCATGCAGTCCACTGGATCTCCCCATAAAATTCAGCATACCGTCTCTCTAATCAGCAGTCTACAGACTGACCAACTTCATCTATCTCCACTCCACCACCACCAGACCAAGTAATTGTATCAATACATTTCTTCTAATTGTCTTTTCACTTCGTGTGAGTTTTTCAGATTGAAGTGGCTTTATGATAACTTCCCCATTAGATTACGATGACTCACATGAACAATTTGGTGTTTAGTTTAACTGGAAATGGATGACAGTTGGTGCGAGAAAAGATATGAAGGTGAACAATGAGAATTAATTGATGTGTCTCTTAAAGTATGTGACCTGTCAAAGAAAATTAGTTTTTAAGGATTAAAACAAATGAAGTTGATCTGTGATGAGAATTATGCTAAAAGTTTTAAAGACTTTCCACACTGACTTTTCTTACCTTCTTTTTGGGTGTTTGCTTCCATTTCTCTGGCTTTTCAGGGCTGTTTTGCCGATATATATCTTTTTCATAGTTTTCCCTCTGCCTCAGCTTGCCTGTGTGTGTGGCTGTTACTTGTGCTGCAGCTCGACTGAACGTTGAACCAATGTTTGAATTCTAACCACATAGCAATAGTCAAAGCTTTAAGTCTTGCCTGGGGAGCCAGATAGTTGTTGGCTATCTGTGATGACCCTGGCAAGAGAGCAGAGAAAAACAGCTTTGAAGTCTCACAGATTCAGCAGCATATTTTATTCTTTGCAGAGAAAAAGTGTGATTTTATCTGCTTTCAAAACATGACTCTGGTGAATATGACGGATTAGTGCTGGAGGATCAATTGGAAAAAAAATCGGCAACCAAACAAAAACAGAAGAGTTACCAAACTTAAAGTTGACCCCCTGCTCTTCCTTTAAAATATCATGGCATACAGATTTTATAAAATATTACTTCATACTGATCGTTAGTCTAAAAGATACAAAAACAAAACTAACAGAATTTGCAAAAAGGAATGTAGAAAAAAGCAAATATATTTTAGCTTGTTATAGCGATGTATAAAATCAATTATTAAAAACCTTATCTTAAAGGTACAGTGTGAAATCATTACAGGCATTTACTTTATAAATGTAATATAATCTCTATATGTTTGTTATGTATGTGTGAACTGAAAGTTAATCTCCCCACAGTCGTGTAGCAAGCAGTAAAATAGAAGGTCTGAAACTAAAACTAAGATTAATATTCCCTGCTACAGTGTGAAATCAATGGGTAACCTCCACCAATCACAAAACAAGGTCCGTTGTACACTATTGGTTCCTGACACGTCAATCATGCTCGTCTGTTTGTCGCTCCCCATGTGCTCGTACCCTGACACATAAACGAATCGACCCCTTTAATGCTCGTGCAGGACGCCATGGCTGGAAGCTAGCCACTGTATTGCTACGTTTACACCTAAAGCAGAAAGAGAAGCAAAAACGTGCATGCTGCTTCATTTTTGATGCTTGTGCAAGTTTATTTCTGAGGCTGATGCACCTCTGCTGCTCTTGCTACACGGCGGAAAAAGTGGGTCTGATGCGTGTTGGGCAGAGCTACCCTATCCTTTCTTCGCCTGTAAAAATGTCAGCAATATTTGCTGTGATCAGGGGGTAAAAAGTAATTTGAATCTATTTTGAAGTGAGAAAGTCCACCTGAAAACATCATCGGTGCAGTCGCCTCTTCGCGGTTTGCTGCAGCGGCTGAAAGGGGATTTTCATGTACGTAATACAAACTGCAGGATAACAAAAGTGAACATATTTCGCTGGGAGATTTCAGCATTTTAAGTTCAGTTAGGCATTAATAATCCGTTTCAGAGGAGGGATCATAGCGGTCTGCATCATCAGTGCTGTGCCTGTCTCCCTGCCAGCTCCCAGATCAGCGACTTGCTGCTTCAGCTGCTCAGACGCGCTGCAGACAGCATGCGCATAAGTGTGTTTTGAAGCCGTGGTTTTGAGGGGTGGTCTGAAGGGAGAGGCATGGTTGTGTATGTTCAAATATATAGCTTGCTAGAACTGTTTTTTACCAAGATCTCCTACAGCACCTTTAATTGTTAATTTCTCACCTGCTTATGTCTGCCTGGTTCCTAATTCTCATTTATTTTTTCCACCTGCGTCTGTGCTTTATATTCGGTTCAGCCCTAGCTATTGAGGCCAGATCATTATTTGTTTTCTGTTTGTCTGTTTAGTAGTTTGGTTTACTCCATGGTTCATGTCCTGGTTCCTGGTGGTCAGCGGATTGAAAGGGTTATTTTTCTGTTTGTCCTGTCCTCTGATCGTGTCCTGGTCCTTCTCCATGGAGCCCTCAGGGTTTTGGCTTGGAATGCAGAGAAGGTCAGTTTTATTCCTGTAAGCCTGGCTCCTAGGAGGAGACCAGTTTAAAGTTTCCTGCAGAAATTCTGGTACAATGTGTTGTATCTGTTCTCTCAACCACTAAACCTGCCTGTCTACATCTGAGCCTGCCTGTCTGCATCTGCCTGAACGCTCTGTGGATTCCTGGAGGTCTGGATCCTTCTGTTCCTGTTTGGGCAGGACTTCGGATCAGCTGTGGACTCTAGGATTCCAGGACTTTTCTGGCCTACTCTGTTTCCCCTGACCTGGATCGGCCTCCTGTTTGTTCTCCAAGGCCTCAGCGCCTGGGACACTCGGGGCGGCACCAGCCCATCTGCTGGATGTCAACTCTTTCGAAGAGGATGAACTGCACTGTCAAACCAGGTAAGTGACTCACTCTGATAATCATCTCCTGTCAGATGATTAGGTGACTAACTGTGTTTTTCCCTCCAGAGAGTGTCAGCTATTGGCCGATGTCCTGCCCCCCTTTCCCTGCAGTCGCTGCAGGTCCACAGATCCACAGTAGCCCGTTTCTGTTCTGTTTCAGGTCTTTTTTTGTTTTAATAAATGGTTTCAAATTTCCTACTAACTGTCTCTCCTTGAATACAGGGTCCATCTGTCCCGTTTTTTGACAGGAGTGGGTTTTGTAGTGGCAGACATCTTTTGTGCTACGGCAGTGGTGAGCTGACAAACTAGTAACTGTAGAAATTGCCATTATGCAAGAATGGGAACGCAGCAAGTTAGGCCTTTATACAGTATTACACAGAATAATTAAATACTATTTATAAAATTATCTAAACTAGACGTACATCGGCCATGACCAGTAACCAGCTAGTTATAATGAAGACGACCAATTTCAAATGCCGATTGTTGTGTTTTTGATTATGTATCTTTATTCTGCAAAGCAGGGGGATGAATAACCTGGACAACAGAAGTAAGAGCAGACATTCTGAGCTGAGGGAGCAGCAGAGAGGAATCAGTGTGAAAACAGCGGGCGAGAGAGCCCCAGAACTAGAATAAGCGAGCCAACCATGCAGCCCTCTGTGGCTAAGGAACTACAGCGGCAGAGGCGGCAGCTTTCCACTGCTAGCTCAGGAAGAAAGCTGAGGAGCACAGTGTTAGCTTTGAGGGGCCAGTGGAGCACATGGTGGCCTGCTGGGAAACAGTGGAGATGTCATGGACTAGGGTGACCAGACGTCCTCTTTCTCCCGGATGTCCTACTTTTCAGACCTAAAAAAATGTCTCAGGGGAATTTTCAAAATCATCCGGGATTTTGGTTGACTGGAGTGCAGCAGAACCGAGACGTGGTCTCTGGAGCTGGGGACAGAGCGACCGAACCCGACCCGGCGACGGTAGCTTGGACACCGGCGGCCCTGTGCTTCCCCCTGCCTGCCTAACTGGGTAGGCGGGGGGAAGCATACCGTTACCGGGTTGGGTTTGGTCGTTGTGGGGCTCATGGCTCTGAGCTCAGCTTGGTTCAAATGCCCGGTCCAGTCAAGGCTAGGCTCTAGATGCTAACTACTGGAGATGGACGGAGGGCTGCTGAGGATCTAAGGGGCCTTCGGGTGGACTGCGTGTCGGAGAAGGAGAAGAGAAGGCATCAGGTGGTCCGTGTCTGTGCTGGATGTAGGGTATGAAACTGTCCTTCTAGTGCTAAATTAAAACAGCTTATTTAAAAGCCACTCACAAACCTCTTAAGGGCCCTTTCCTGCATTATCCTTTAACAACATTATTTTCTCTGCCTTCCATTTTGATTTAAAAAACTCATTTCTGCAGCCTCCTTCAATGAAACAGTGGTTAAATAATGATACTTTCTCATCTTCTAACTTTTATACTTGTCAATTTACTTGAGACAACATACCGGTAATAGGAAAAGTTATGGATTTCATGCTGTGATCTATTGTAAATGAACATCGTCATCACTTGCCAATATAGGTGTAATGCCATATGCCATGATCATATACTTTTGTTTCAAACACCAGATGCATCTTAAACTGTAATATGTTTTTTAGGTAAATCAGACTTTGTGAAAGCCATTTTGTACCGTCAGGGCCTCATATTGTTAGAGGAGAAAGGCAGTGTGGGCATTTTATGTACCCGCAGTCCGCAGTCTGACCATTAGATGTCGCTGAAAATTACACATTGTAGCTTTAATGTGAGCAAATTAATGCAGTATCTCCCAAACCACCTTACCCTGTGGATTCATATTGACCAGCTGCCCACTGAAGTTATTTCTCAATAAATCAGTGTTATGATTAATGCATGTGGGTTTTCTGCCTCGTCTGCTGTGTCAGGATTTAAACTTGGATCTCTCCTGCTGTTGGAACCTAATAACCTGTCACTTGCCAGGGCGAAGTCCACATCTCTCTTCATTAAATCAGATTTGCTGAGACTTGTTGCTGTCATAGCAAACATGCATTTGTAAGCAGTGAAATTTGATCTCAGATTTGCAGAGTAAAAAATGCTGCTCAAAATGTAAAATATCTTGAGTTGAGAGAATCACAATCAGCTATGTTCTGTTCAATCTAAGATTAGACTGCACTATATAAATTTAAAGGTTACATCAACTCATAAATTAAAAAGCTTAAAAAACTGAAACCCTTAAAAAAATCTAAAAGCTAAGCAACTAAACTTAAAACTAGTGTAAGGGACTTTACTTAAAAGACAAAAATATTACTTTGTGTTGGACTTTCTTGTTATTTCTGTGTCAATAGAAATGGGAAAGTTTGGTTTGTAGCTTTGTTTTAGGCTTCAGAAAATATATATTTTAAAATAATTTTAGAGACATTCTTGTTTGAATACATTGAAATTTATAATATTATTGTGGCAGTTATTACTGGGGTTGCAGCATTAGAGTAATTTGTTTACTTATTATGTGTTGGTGGTTGAACTTGGATCTCCCATGTTGTAGGAACTTAATAACCTGCCACTTGCAAGCATGAGGTGTACACCCCTCTTTATTAAGCCCAGTTCGTGCCTTGTTATTATCATTGCACACATGCATTTGTTTGCAGTGAAATATGAGAATGTTAAGAAAAAATACTTAATTTAGCTGAATAGATGGCTTGCAGCTCTCTTTTACAGCAGCTTTTAAAATTGATGCACAGGAAAAACCCACAGAATCTACTACCAATCTTAAAAAGTACATTTCTTTTGTCATTTACAGTACTTACAAAGATTCAAAACCAACAAGGAAATATGAAAGCTAGTCAGCTAAACTAGAGAGCTGTTTCTTCAATTTACTCACTTAAATTAATGTTTATTTAGATTTAATTTCAATATTGCTAAATCGTCCCACAGTGGGGAAATCTGTACTCCAGTTTAACTAATCCCTGAAGG